TTGGCATGTATCAGATACGGTATCACAAAGGTGTACCATATGATAGCGTTAATTCGGCGTCCAAACTAGCGATCATGAAACATGTTGGTGCAGCGCGACGGAGATATGATACACGAAGATGCTACATATGTGGACCCGGCTTTGAGGCGGTTTTTCTCCGATCATCAAAGGGGCATTGAGGGTTCGCTGAGAAGAATTGATGAACATGATACGACGATACAAGGTGATTTGTTGTACCGTCCATATACAATGATACGCACGCTTGTACGCTGGTACGTATGAATTTTATAAGTATGGACGCTTACTTTGGCACGATATGCATATTCAGTCGACACAGCCCAAATAAACGTCCATACTTACGATACAAGCTCTTGATACGTGATACATGATCCTGATACAATAGAGTGCTACATATGTGGACCCGGCTTAATTTGTTGTGCTGTCTACACTGCTATGTTATAGTACCTACGCTTAGTGTCCTCGAAATATATTTTTGTAATTTAAAACTTGTTCGAATGAGGCAAAAACCTAACGCTTAGAAAATACAATTTTAGATTGACAAAATTATAGGAGGAAAACTTAAGGTACGTTGCCATTTGACTGGTTTTTCATTGTTACCTGTTCTGTAATTTGAACCTCTGCATCTAGGTTTTATTGAATTACTTAAGCTACAATAAAGAATGACAATGGAATTCCGAAATTCTTTTAAAATTAATAGTGAATCATGGTCTACCACATCCAAAGAATGGTCAAAAACACATTTTAATATACTTCTAATGGAAAAAAGATGTTTCACACACATAACATAAGAATTGCACTAAAGCAGTTAATCTTTTCCTCACTACTAAGCTGAATTATTAGACAAGGAAATGTCAATTACTCGGCTATACTCCTGACTGTACTTTATAACTTCATTACACCTGCGATAGAGTTCAACTTTTTTATGTATTAAATATTCGTTTATATTTATAATCTTAATCCCTAGTGGAGGAAACAAACTACGCGATTGCATAACAGTACCGAGAAAAATCAATTTCCAAATGATAATCATCAGAATAAGCAAAAATAAAGTTACGCAAAACAGCATAATCTAAACTTGTTTTTGCTAATATAGAATGCGCTCATAGGCAATGAAAATTTGATAAAAATGAGAACTAGGAAATAATTTGCCTTCTATAAGAAAATTATTATGCGTTTAATTAATCCATTAGGCGTATTAACGTCGATTAAATAAAAGATGCAGTCAATATATGTAAGCTTTAACTAAATTAAGAAATCAGATAGGATGGCTTATATTAGCTACTCCACCAGCTCACTTTCATTTCATGAGTCATTTAAGATATATACAAGCTTCGCTTCACTATTAGGCAGTGAGAAGTTATGGTAAATGCCCAATTACCGTCACTGTCCTAATTTTCGTCATATTCCCATATTTTTTAAAAAATTAAGAAACTCAGAGAAAAAATTCCATAATAAATACTTTTAAATAGTTGTTTTATATATATCTGAAAACATTGCAATACATCTTTTTTTAAATGGCGCACTTCATTTACGTGGAATAACGACTATTTTAGTTGGAAGTTAGACGTTGACGAGAATCCACACATTTCTTATAAGCTAAGCAGAGCAACAGTCTTCCTGATTTTCTTTCACAATAATGTAATTTAGTATACTAAGGTTCAAATATAAATGAATTACCAGTGTAAAAGGTTTTTCATTATTTGTATTCATATAAAAAATATATTTTTTTTTCTATAATATTAATAAAAAAAATGGGTGACGGTTTTCGAGACACGTCGCAACGGAACGTGCTGTATTATCGTAACCATTGACGAAGATTGGGTCATTATAAGCAGATATATTTTATTCAGTATAAAATTCATTTTTCTGTAATTCAATAATTTTTGTCTATAAATGGCAGTATGAAGATGCGTTATTCACCCACTTTTATCATTACTTAATTCTACTTTAAATTATCAATTAAAAATGACGAGAGATGATTAAATGGATGGCGAGAACTGGATGTCTGCGACGGAAATTAGGCCATTAAAAATGTAAGCCATATTAATATAGGCTTTCTGTAAAATTACCTGTGATTTTAAAAATGAGAAATATTAGAGTTCGGAAGATATTTTGGACTATATTAAAAGGGATATTGTTAAATTTTAAATAAAAATATCCCCTAGTGTCATATTTAATTTTCTTGTAAGCCTTATACTAATAATGCGGATTTTATAGCTAACTGAACTGAGATATTCCCTTAATGTGACGATAACTGGGACAGTTACCATATACCTAGCTTCAAAAAAACATGTGCCTTCGCTCGTGTAGAGATTCCTCGCGTAAAAATTAGATTTATTTTTCATACCAACATAGATCCGATTCTGCCTTGTTTCGTAGCTACAGGGTGTTGAGCTACCACCAAATATTTTTTTAGGCTTAGTTACAGTTGGGGGTTGGAACTTTTGGTGTTACAACAGCAAAATAAAACACTAATTAACCAGAATACACCAAAACACTTTTACTTTTGCACTGCGTTTCGCTAACCATGATGCTATCATCATCAGATAGTTTTAATTATCTGGTGATGATGCTAACGTAGTTAGCGAAACACACGTACAGTGAAAAAGTAAAACTCTTTTGATGTATTGTTGTGAATTAGTGTTTTATTTTCCAGCCGTTGGTTAACAATAACGAAATTTTATTTTTTATCTAGATGGCTGCAAATTGGTATACTTATATAAAAGGAACAAAGAAACAACTTTTTCAAATAAAGTTTTTCAAAATTCAGCCAGGAATCATATTTTTCTCTCATTTATTACTTTAAATGCCAAATTTGACAGATACCCGAAAGCAACATGATAAATTTTCTTGTCATTTTTAATCTAAACCAAAGTAGACTATTCAATTTTCATCGAAGTCAATAAATAAATAAAAATCATTATGATGCTGACTTATACAGGGGGCGCACCTTATTCACCTCGGTTGATTATACGAAAACGGAAAGATGTAGAAACAAAATATTTTGTGGGTATATGTGGGGAAGCAATGTGCACAATTTAAAATTATTTTGAAATCTACAGGGTGTTTCAGAATTAAGATCCATACCAAAGTTATATTTTTTCTTATGAAACACCCGGTATTTTATTTCATTTTTGGATTCTTGGGCCCAAAAAAAGTCATTTATTATAAGGATTAAATATGTTTAAAATCTTTGGTTTTTGAGATATTTAAATATATTTAAATTTACATGCTACAATAGAATAGATTATTAACTAATTTTAACTAATTTAAAGCTAGAGAAATAAACTTTACAGAAAAATGTTATTGTTTCCTTAAATTTATACAGGAGTATCAAAAATTGCGGATCTATGTTAAGAATTTATTTTACATAAAACTGCGTTTTTTCTGTGGTGATAAAACTGCGGTGTTTCAATACAACACCGTGTATTTTTTTTTAATAAATCGAAGCAGATTCAAATGCTCTTTCTAACTATGGGTTTCCTATACCTATCTAGCTCAGATTTTGAAAAAGCAATTTTTCAATAAAATGGCAACCAAGAGGGCTAGTGTCGTCATGGCAAGTTTCCAGTGACATAGTTAGTAGCTATTTTCAAAATCGAAATTAGTTTATGGGCTTATTTAAATTTATACCAGTTTACTTTTATTTAATTTATCTACAATATAAATAATATTTTATCTATAATATCTATTAAATATGTATTTATTATTCTATCGAGAAAAAGGAAAAAGTAGTCCTTTGATTTATTTTACTAGGACTTGTAGATATATGGATTTTCTATTAAAAAAGGCCATTACGGCAAATTCATTTTCTTCACTTCTAGCGACATGTTTCTGCCTAATAGGTTTTTTATAAACCACACTACCGACTCTGCGAAATAGGACAAGTAATTTTTCAAAGGAACGCTTATCAGGAAGATTCCTATTTGGATATCTTTGAGCTTAAGCCCTTGAGGCCAAGAAGCAATTTTTTTCACAAAATAAAATTACTAGTAATATATCTATTCGTTCCACTAGCAGATACCGCTGTATTTTTCTTGATAAAATAATAATAAATACTTATTAAACTATTGTAGGTAAATTTAAGTAAACTGTTATAAATTATAAATAATAATGTCAATAAACTAATGTCGATTTTGAAAATAGTTACTAACTTTCACTAGAAAATTGCCATGGCGATACAAGCCATCTTGATTGCAATTTTATTTAAAAATCTATTTTTATTCAAAATCTGAGCTAGATAGGTATAGGAAACCCTAATATAGTTCGAAAGAGCATTTGAATCTGTTTCGATTTATTTAAAAAAATACAGGGTGTTGCAGAAGTTTTTATATAAAATATATCCTTAAAATAGTCAGCAACTTTTGACACCCCTGTATAAATTTAAGGAAGCAATACCATTTTTCAGTAAAATTTATTTCTCTACCTTTACACTCAGCATAGAATTAATTCTGGAAAGTAATGTACAGGGTGTTAATAATATATTCTATTGTAGCCTGCAAATTTAAATATCTTTAAATATCTCAAAAACTAAAGACTTTAAACATATTTAACCCTTATAATAAATGCCTTTTTTTGGGTCCAAGAGTCCAAAAATGAAATAAAATACCGGGTGTTCCATAAGAAAAAATATAACTTTAGTATGGATCTTAGTTCTGAAACACCCTGTATATTTCAAAATAATTTTAAATTGTGCACATTCCCTCCCCACATATACCCATAAAATATTTTGTTTCTACATCTTTCCGTTTTCGTATAATCAACCGAGGCGAATGATGTGCACCACCCTGTATATTGTTCATAAGAACTAACATTTTTATTTAATTTTTCATCTGAAATTGAATCGTTCAATTTGAATATTCAAATGAGATGTCTGAATTGTCAATTTTATTGCATTCATTCATCTTTATTAAAACATTCAATAGATTAAAGATTCGAAAATTACGCATGATTTCTATAGTTTTAATAATAAACTAACATAACTGTAAAATTATATTTTTAATATATTTAATAGAGTTTAGTATATAAAATTATGTCTTTTCGGCAATTTAAATCCAGGAAATATCGAAAAGGATCCTGCACATGGGTGTGACGTACTGCAAGAACATAGGCCTGCGCCAATCAGAGCTCCATAGATAAATAAACTCACCATGATCAAAATAGTGAACACCCATTTCAAAACTGACCATCGGTTTTTCCATAACTTGTACTTCCACGTTCTATTGCTTAAAAGTGAAAATTGCCATAAATAATTATTTATAATATCCATCCAGGGGTGGATGGGCCATATGGGAAAACGGGAAAATTCCCGGTGGGCCGGTGGAAAGATGGGCCGTTGGGCCGGTCCCGATCAGAGCTCAAAAAAAGATTGGATTAGCAAAAATTAAATGGTTAATCTTCTAACTAAAGTAACGTAAGACCCTTAGTGACTCCATAGTTAACTAATCAATTTGCATCAGTATAATCGTGAGTTTCTTTTAAACATAAACACCTATTTGTAAAATAACTATATTGTAAAATATCTTTCTCTGGGACACTTATAATTTTAATAATCATCTGTTGTTTGTTAGGTTTGAAAATTTTTATTATACAAGGTGAGTCTATAAGTGCAAATATTTTTTAAGGCTGGTAGATCTCAATAAAATAAATATAATATATCATCTTTACCGAGTTTCAAATAAGTCCAATCGAGTTATTAAAAGTTTGGAAATTTAAAAAAATAGATTTATTTAAAAAGTTGAGCCACCTCAATTTTTCGATATTTACATCTCTTTTAGTGCCGTAATATCAGAGATTAAGAAACTATACCGTAGGAAAATTTGCGGTGAACAGGAAGTTCTGAAAAGTTTCCTAAAATCTACAGGAAAATTTAAAAGAAAATGCTCGATTTTTAACATATTTTTTTGCAAAAAAAAACTCATAGACGTGTTCCTGGGGTTGAAATATACCACTCCTGAAAATATTTGCACTTATTTAAGACTCACCCTGTATAGTTTTACCCACTATTCTTTTATTAATATCTAATAAATATGACTGCCTGGCAGCAGAAAAAAGAATGAATAGCATTGGGTAAATTTAAATAGTCTCGGTCTAAATCTATACTAAGAATACGGTAGCGTAGATTGACAACTGGGGGCCTCGGTGCAATATTTTTCGAGTTCCCCTTTGTAAAAAGGTAGACGAATTTGACGCGAATTCTGCGGTTGACGGAGAAAACATATCTATGCTTGGTTTGAATTGGTGACGGACTAAAAGCCAAGTCTAAATTGTTGTTTAAAATGTTGCTAAAATGAATTTGCTAAAAATTACTGAGACAGCAGAGAAGAGTTAAATAAGGTTTAAACTAGATTAGATAATAAAATATCAATATGTCTCGAAAATCCAAATATTCTTATTATGGACTGTAACATAGCATTACATCAGAACACATTTATATCCACTGCCTAGGTATTGCCTAGGTTTTTTTCGTTTGAGTCATAGCATTATCATACAAGATGCCAAATGTACAAAAGTATAGAGGAAAAGTTTCGTGATAAGAACTATATGTATAATAACCTAAAAAATACCGCAGTTTTAATGGCAACCGCGGTTCATTCAGTTAAAAACACGTATACACGACGAGGCTGCTGCTGTAGCAGAAAAGAGAGAATTTCTTTCTACAATGTGTAAGAAAGTATATACCCGAAAAGCTAAAAGTAATGTATTGTCAGCTGAACTGAATGAATCAGGAAGTCTTAAAGTTTCTCAAAATCGTGACTCAAAATCGTAGCCTATTCAAGATCAAATTACCGTTATCGATAATCGAAATAAAGCAGTAGAACCCTGTAAAACTGAGCCATTTTGTAGTAAAAACTCAGATCAGTCCGACCCAATATTGGTCTTTACGAAAATTTTGATCAAGACAATTTATTTTTTTAAACCGGAGACAAAAGAGCTTTTTCGCACGAGCGAAAAACACCTTTACTTATACATTAATAAATAAAATATGTTTCTTCGTTACGGTCATATGATCATTTTGTTTTTGTGGATTTGGGCCGGTTGCCGGTTTTTTCCGGGCCGGTTTCCACTTACCCATCCACCCCTGTGGATATAAAAACCATAAAAAATAGCTTCTGTCATAAAACATAATTTGGAAATGAGGAATTTCATCAAAAATATCATTAAAAAACACTTATACAGGGTGCTACAAATTGTAAGTACGAGCATTGGTATCTCGGTAACCGTAATAGTAATACGAACATGGTTAAACTGAGGCAAAGTTGTTGTATTGGGATGTTCACCAAGATGCCATCTAAAAAGTTTTAAAAATTTCAAGGATTGCTAAGAATTTTCGAAAAAACTGTTTTTTTTAAAAATCAAACAACTAATTGCACATTCTCATAGACACTTTATTAGGGCTATCTGATGAGTATTTTTGGATTTTCAAATTAGCTGATAATTTCTGAGATACAGAGGCCAACTTAATTTTTTTAAATACGGACCTGCATTTTTTATTTCAGGTTTTGAAAGAACTCGGTCGCCTGAATACAATGATATGCCACACTTAATACTATTTCTTTGTTTTGGATACCTTAACAGCAACAAAATTATTTAATTATTATTTGAAATAATTTCAAGTCCCACTCTCTTATATTTTTCTTAATCTATCAAAGCTCAATAAAACAAAAAAAAACACTTTTGTTTTATACATGCTTGCTTCATCTACGTTACCATAAATTGGTAGGGTTTGTAAACCCTTTTGTTTTATAATTTCAATAATACACCGTGTGGTGCATCGGAACACGGGACATAGGAAATCCCATGTAAATTTTGAAAGGGTCAAATATTATCTCCCCAGATAATTTTATGCAAAATTTGTATTAGACTTTTTTGAAGAGGCGTTAAGGTTGTACTTTTGTCTAGAATTTCGTTTCATTTGGAATAGTCATCTAAAAGTTATTTGCAAAAATATACCATCAAATTAGTAAAATTTATAATACTGCCCAGAGAAGCTACAATTAAATACCAGCAAAGATGTGATTGTGTCATTATTAAATTCGATATCACATTTTGTTTACAAAAATTTGAATGTACCAAATAGAGTAATGTTATATAACACAATTATGAATTTCCCAACTTCTGAAAAAGCTACCATGGTTCAATGGTATTTTGCTGGAAATAGTATTCTGTCTTAGATATGTTGGCAGTTCAGTCTCCGGAAAGCTTATACCGAATTAGTCAACAGTTTAATTAAAGAATAAACTAGAGGTTTGAAACTAAAGGCACTTAGTATTAAGGACATAGACATGTGAAGACAAAAATAATTGAACAGGAAGAAAACAACAACGACTTGAATATTCTTCATGTTGAAGAAAAGGAAAACATTGACTTCTGTTTACTAGGGACAGTAGGAAAATACCACATAATCTTTCGCCGAACGACTCCTTCGTGTAGAGCACACTCAAAAAACATCTTTATGGGCATATTAAATACAGAAATTTAGATGGACTGAAATCGACGTGGTACGCTAAAGATTCTTCCCTTAACAGCTTTGTATTGTAAGACGTGAATTTTACAATATTTGGGATATTGTTTAGCTGTGAATGGGGGATTATGTAAACATTTTATTAATGAGCATAGTTTAATAAATTTTCTTTAGTTACAAATATTCCTTTTATTTGTTAAATTATTGTGGATGTATCTAGTATGAGCGAGGCCTGCGAGTGATCGAGTAATGAATTTATTTATTTATTTATTTACTCGTGTCCAACTCAGTATATATAAAAAACAAATCAAGAAACACAAAAATATATATAAAATATACAAAACGGCTAAATTAATAAAAAGGCACATCATACATTTAAAAAAAACAAAGTCAAACAATCAACATAAACAGGAACAATACTTGTACAGAATTAGACAAACTACAAAAAATATATATGCTTACATCAGTTATATACAGGATATCCAGTACTTGGTACACTCCAGGTCGTTGGTATTTCCCTACGCGAGATCACTCTGATTGCATATGTTTGGGAGATTTGGACATACGAGAAGATGCCTCATATTTTGTTCCTCTCCGCATTCACAGGATACAGATCCGTCAAGGTAGCCCCACTGGTTCATGTTTGTCTTGCATCTGCCAACCTGAGTACGCAAACGGTTCTGACTTCTCCACACCGGCCATGCCTGTTCCGCACCAGGTGGTAGGCTCTCTTTTGGCCTTAGCGCAAATTCATTTGGAGTTGTTGAAGTTGCTGACCACAACTCCAGTCTCTTTGCGGATGTCGTACTGCTATCAAGTGGCTGGACGGTAGAAAGACAGCTTTTTCGAGATTTCAACCTGGATCCAGCGGCGTGTTGTCCGAAGAGCGTGTGCCGGGTATCGGAAAGAGCTTGCTGTTTCTCTTTCATGCTGGAAACTTGTCTCCTTATGTGGGGTGGAGCTATCCCGCTGAGGAGGTGTAGCTGTTGGGCCGATGTGGGTTTTAGGCATCCGGTGATTAGGCGGCACGATTGGTGTAGCATCGGGTCTATCTTTTTGGCATGGCAGGAGCGTTCCCAAACTGGTGCGGCATATTCGGCAACAGAATAGCAGAGTGCAAGAGCAGTAGTTCTTAGTGTGTGTGGATTAGCCCCAATTTCGAGTAATGAACAGCAATCATGTCATACTCCGCGAATATTATTCCCAGTTCAACTAGTACTTTTGTAGATGATCATTCCAAATCAGAAAAAAATTAACCACCCTTTTCAAACCACATAAATTCTTCTAAACAAAAAAAAAATGTGACATCGAATTTGACAATGACAAAATCATATTTTTGCTGGTATTTGGTTTGGTTTGAATTGTAGCTTCTCTGGCGAGTATTATAAATGTTTAGTAATTTGAATGTAGATTTTGCAAATAACTTTTAGATGCCTATTCCAAATAAATCGAAAAAGAAATACCAGACGATAGTACAATTTTAACGCCTCTTCAAAAAAGTCTAATACAATTTTTGCATTAAATCATCTGGGGAGATCTATCTACATCATCTCCTATCTACATTCCTAAACCTGTAGAATGCTATTAATCAGAAATATATGAAATATTAGATTTACCATCTAGCTAACCTGAGACCATCACATATAGAATTTTCGGCACTTTCAATCTGTCTGCGTACTAATTTTATAATAGGGCATTTTATATGTCGGATTTCGTCTAAAATACCATTATCTTCATTATAATGTGCATAACTTTCACATAAGACAAATCTTTGAGAATCCGATGAAAACATTAACTTTTTTTACTGTAAAATACTGTGTAAAAATATTTTATGAAATGATATTTTAACTAAATATGTTAACCAAAAATTTTACTGTCAGTATCAATTTAATAATGAGCTGTCATCGGCATGTCAAAATCGTTTTGCATACAAGGTTTCTTGGTATATTTTTTCATATACAGGGTGGCGCCTCTCATACGCCGCGGAGGCTCCAAGGAGAACGACAGTTTGTATTGAAACGAAATTTTGTGAGCATACGTAGGTTAATTCAGGGCACTTCTTAAAAATATAGAGAGTTCTACAGGGTGTCCCCTAACAAAGTTACATATCAAAGTTGTGTTTTTTTGTAATGGAACACCCTATATATTAATTGATTTTCGGATTCTAGGAGAAAAATAAAGGTGAGTTTTATAAGAGAAGTATATGACTAAAATGTAAGGTTAATGTTCTAGAAACATTTCATTTAACATGTTCTAGAAATAAAGAACAATTTTTAAATTACAATAAAAGCTACCTTAAATTGGAATTTACCCGGAGCAGCCTAATATGTAGTTAAACTAACTATTCTACTTTAAATCAAATTAAAACTTGATCTAAAAAGTTATACAGGGTGAGACAAAATTAATATTGAACATTGGTCACCTTTAAAAGCATGTTACTCTCTTATTTTAAATGGAACACCCAGTATATTATTCCGATATTTAATGGATAATTCCTGTCTCTTCAAAATACTATTAAGGTTGCCTACCCCTCAAACAAAGATTTTCCTAGATATTTTCATTTACATGATTTGATCTGAGTAGATCTTTATTATTTGATAAAACCTAGGTGGCTGTGATATGTCTGACGTTACTTCAACATAACTGTCTACAGTCTCTACAGTCTACATAACTGTCTACAGTTCAACTTTAATAACTAGTTATAATTTTTAGTCAGTTGAAACAAAAAAAATTGTCAGGAATTTGCCGAAAATGCAAACTTATCCTACATCAGAAAGAATTGATATGACTCTATTAGTTGGTGAATGCAGTGTGCATTCACCAATTAATAGAATAGTTAAATGCTCCTGATTTTATCTAGTCTGGTTTTTTTATGGGGATATGTTAAAGACAGTGTTTACAAAACCAAAACTCGACCAACTAGTGTCGGCAGCATGAGAAAAATTATTGTAGCTGCTTTTTCAGGTAGAACTCCACATAAATGCCTTTTAAAATGAAAAGGTCCTTTTGAAAAGACAATCATTTTATGCAGTTAACAGGAAAGGAAGCATTTTGAGCATTTGATTTCATCCAGCTAATTTTTGTCGCATAATTATAGATTTATATCTAGTTTTAATTCTGTAATAATTAAAATATGTTTTAAACAGGTATTTTTTTATTATCCTTGAGTATTTTACTCCACAATCTTTAATTTTTGTTAAATTAATAAAAGGTATATCACACAGCCACCTAGATTTTTTCAAATAATAAAGATTTACTGACGCAAAATCATAAAAATTAAAATATCTGGGAAAATCTTTGTCTGGGGGGTAGGCTTTTAAATAAAACTTTAATAATATTTTGAAGATATATAAATTCCCCATTGAACACCGGAAAAATATACTGAGTGTTCCATTTAAAATAAAGGAGTAACTTGCTTTTAAAAGTACTAATGTTCCATATTAATTTTGTCTCACCCTGTATAACTTTTCGGGTTAAATTTCAATTTGGTTTAACATACAATGGTTACTGTAATTAAATATCAGGCTATACAAGGTCAACTAAAATTGAGGTAGCTGTTATCGAAATTTAAAATTTACTCTTTATTTTAACAAAATGTGAAATATGTCAAAATCCTTAGATTTTAGGTATATGCTTCTTTAATAAAATTCACCTTTATTTTTTTCCTAGAATCCGAAAATCAATTAATATATAGGTTGTTCCCTTAGAAAAAAACACAACTTTGATGTGTAACTTTTTTTGGGGACACCCTGTATAATTCTATATATTTTTATAAAATGCTTTCAGTTAACCTACATATGCTGCCAAATTTTCATTTCGATATAAACTACCGTTCTCCTTGGAGCTTCTGCGGCGTATGAGAGGCGCCACCCTGTACAGGGCTCGGCAATAGTGCATCGGGCATGTGTAGCGCCTAGAATAAAAAACTTGGAAATTTTGTTTAGGTACAAACCTAAACTAACGAGAATGTAGGTATTTCACTAAGGTAAAACTAAAATAAAATCACCTCATAAGGTGACTCAAAAAAGTGTGAGTGGATCGGGATGATTTTTTTTAAATATAAGTAATTCCCTGTATATTATTGCATTTTTGGTTACCTTTCTGATCAATTTACATAGTCCGAAGATATTATGAAATAGTTTTTGATAGTTTCAGAGATATTAATAAATAGGGAAAACGTTTTTCAGCCTTTTTTTAAATTATTAAAAATACAAGAACTGTCTTGAAATCAAAACTATATTAGGTATTTACTTTAGATGGTCTGTCTTTAGATAACTTTGCTATAAATATTGTAATCTTAAATCATACTGGGTGTTCAAAATTCTACGCCAAACTTTCTAAAATATAAAATAATTTTTCTTGTTTTTTTTTTTAAATGGAACACACTATATACTATTTTTTCAATAGATGGAGAATTAAGAAATGAATATTTTTTGTATTTAAAATATTTCAAAATCTTTAATGGTTTCGCAGATACACGCAGTATTATTTCATATGGCTCTTGCAACGGTAAAATACGAGCGAAAAATATTTGTGCGTCTCTGATAAAAATTTACTGTGGAAAATGCCATATGAAATAAAAAACCGCGAATATCTGCGAAACCGTTGAAAATTTTGAAATACTGTAAATACAAAAATTGTTTATTTTTTAATTCTTCCGAAAAAATCATCCCGATCCACTCATACTTTTTTCAGCCACCCTATAGAAGTTATAAGAATATTTTCCTGAAATACATCCTAGTACCTTAGATCTTATAAACTTCGTGGATAAGTAAATTCGCTTAATTTTTGTTGAAGACACATCAGCGACATTCGGCTATCTGATTATCTTTGTCTTTGACATTGATTGACCAATCGTCTGTCTTGGTTTTGTGTATATGTCATTTTTATGTCATAAAATAGAAAATGTAAATATATACATTTGAGAAAATAATATTGTTATTCGGGATATTAATTATCTATTGGATAATATTTACTAGTATATTAACTATTTAACGAAAAAAATCAAAGGTAAATTACCTAATTGTATTTAAAGTGATTAAGTAACCTAACATAAATATGTATTTCGCTGAATAAAAGTCAGTTGAAGAAACGATTTTAAATAATATACATATATCTAGTATTTTAAAAATATGGAACATACTTCAGAGGTTTTCATACTTTTATAGTGTTGTGGATTGCGGACAGCTTCACATATAACACTTTTATCAGTCATAATGTCTATTTATCCACTAACTTTATCGCACTACAAAAACAAACTTTCAAAAATACACAAAAGAACACAAATCTAAAATATCGTCGGAATTCCACAAATTAATTCTTTATTATCACGAGTCAAACGGTATACAAACAGTATACAAAAAGCACAAAATATTAATTAAATTATTTTATTAAAATATGTTTTGACTTTTCAAAGTCAAAATATTTTAACGTTTCCCTGGTTACTGATTTCTATGTGTTGCCCATTCATCATAGCTATTTTTCAAAGTAGTATTTTAAAACATTTTTAAAAAAGAATTTATCGTTATAATATGATTTAATTTTTGTTTAAAATATATATAAAAAGTATATTGGAAATAATATGACAAATATTTTCAAATTATCGAAATATTTCACTTTTCAAAGTTCCCTTAGAAAAAAACACAACTTTGATGTGTAACTTTTTTTGGGGACACCCTGTATAATTCTATATATTTTTATAAAATGCTTTCAGTTAACCTACATATGCTGCCAAATTTTCATTTCGATATAAACTACCGTTCTCCTTGGAGCTTCTGCGGCGTATGAGAGGCGCCACCCTGTACTAGTTTTAGCAATTAAATAATAAAACACAGAACCTTTCCGATAAACTACAATTCAACACATTTAATCAACTATAAATCACAAATAATACGTCAGGAAACTTTAATAAACACAGACAGCATTGAAACGAGCGTGCTGCTGAAGTGTCTCATCACACTGGCGCGACCGACAGCGGTCCGTGCTTACCTTCCCAAAAATAAATCAATTTTGTTTTATATAATCATATTTCTAACACGGCCAATTCTGACACGGACTTCGCTCTCGAAGTCATTCTATTCGGAATCGGCTATTGAATATCAGGAAGGAATTCTTCATTGCTATCCACCAAAGGTGATATTCTGAGTAGTCAGTTGTTCTTATAGGAATTAGTATCTTAATTAGAGAGGTTTCTTTATAACGAATCCAGCTACTACTCTATTAGCTAATCAATTTACTCATAACCTTCCAGACTTTCAATACTCATTTATTACATCCTCAGAAATATTTTTTTTCAATCTTATATGTTACATACTTATATGTTACATGTTACTTCAACATTTAAACAACAGTGCAAATTGTCCATTCTATCAACAGTCAAATATAACAACAGCGCAAAGCGTCCATGCTTTCAACACTCAAATACTACAACAGTGCAAAGCGTCAATGCTTTCAACACTCAAATACTACCACAGTGCAAAGCGTCCGTGCTTTCAACACCCAAAGACTACATCAGTGCAAAGCGTCCATGCTTTCAACACTCTACAACAGTGCAAAGCGTCCGTGCTTTCAATACTCTACCACAGTGCAAAGCGTCCATGCTTTCAACACTCAAATACTACAACAGTGCAAAGCGTCAATGCTTTCAACACTCAAATACTACCACAGTGCAAAGCGTCCATGCTTTCAACACTCTACCACAGTGCAAAGCGTCCATGCTTTCAACACTCAAATACTACATCAGTGCAAAGCGTCCATGCTTTCAACACTCTACAACAGTGCAAAGCGTCCATGCTTTCAACACTCAAATACTACATCAGTGCAAAGCGTCCATGCTTTCAACACTTTACAAGAGTGCAAAGCGTCCATG